CATGCCTGGCTATTTTTTGGTTATAGTTGTCATTGTTGTTCGGCAGGCCTAGGCTGGATTGGAACCTTCTGGCTCTGGTGTATGTGGCGGCACCTTAGCCAATTGAGCTACAGGCGCTGAGCCTATTCACCTCATTTTAGAGGTGAGGAATACAAGACTCAAAATGTTTGCCCTCTCTAAGATTACACAGTTAGTCACAGAACTGGGACCTAGATGCACAGAGGACTTTGACGTCTGTTCTCTTTGTTGGCCCCACATGTGCGAGAACTTAGCAGTGGGTCTGGGGTCACCCCTTGGCCGGTCTGTGATCATGATAGTCAGTCACCTTTGCCTCTTTGACAGGCTCAGGGATTGTTTCTTACTCCCCTTTCTCCTTATCTAAGCTGAATCAAGAGAACGTTTCAGATCTGAAATCTGAGTCCATTCCACAGCAGTGAATTGAGAAATCAACCATTTGAACTGTTTTTCAAAGTCCTTGCAAGGTGTGTGGACAAGCAAAATTTTATGAAGAAGGCAGTGGCTTTTGCTGTTAGGGGCCTCATGGCCAACACTGTCCTAGGGAGAAAAAAAAATGTCCCTCCCACTGTCTCTGCTAAAAGGGCAGTTGAAGATGTATCGTCCCTCTTCCCTCCTCCTCCCAGAGTTGTAGCTAATGAGACCACGAGTCTGTTTGGCATGAGAAGGTAAACTTGAGAATCTGAGCCAAGGGGTATTGGGGGCCTGGGGTGGGTGGAACAATGGCTGAAATGAAAGGGTTAGACTGTCGAAAGATATGTCAGCCCATGTTTAAACTGGAGTTACGAGGCGGCTGGGACTACGAGCAAAGGCAGAAATCGTGAGGTGGGGAGATTACATATATGTGTGGGGGGGGGAGAGCAAGGGATGAAAAAAATTAGTTTTTAAAAAATTTTCTCTATACATATACATGTGTTTATTTGGTTTCCACTTTTTGCCTTCACAAAATTAAAGAGGCTTAAAATTTAATATCAATAACAATGTTTAAGAGAAGGACTAGAAACAAAAACCTCGCAAAGAACGAATGAAGATAAATACATCAGAAAAGAAATCAGTTGATTGCTGCAATGAAATATTGAGCAATAATAATGCAAAAAAGGTAACATTCATAGTGTCAGATAAAAGTTATGTCTATCATAGAATGCTTTGGCTGAGGTTCAGTATGGAATGATCAGTTAACCTTTTTTTTTCCCAAAGTCTCAAAAAGTAGAGAATATTTGTGTTTATAAATAAAAGTAGAAGATAATTAAAAAAAACAGATCTTGCCAAATCTTATAGACAATAGAAAAAGAAGAAATACTTCAAAATCATTCTACTTCATCTAGATATACCTGATATTAAAATTGGAAAAAATATATTATTATAAAGGGAAATTGCAAACATACTTCACTTATAAATGAGGATGCACTATCCTAAACAACATGTTAACAAGTTGAATTGAAAATGATGAAAAAGTATGCAAAGCATATGTGCGTGAATAGTTGAGCAAAGGAAATTCCCAAGTTGATGTACGGAAGAGTTGTGAATCTATGATTCTCTTTGGTATTTTAGAAGTTAATCTTTGTGGTTTCTCCTGATTATTTCGGGCAAAGTGGGTAGGAGGGAAATAGTGTTTATTAGAGTAAGGAGGTAGAAGATAATATTTAAAAAATAGACATTAGATTTGCTTTCTGTTTTTTTTGTGTGTGAGGAAATAGGGTCTTGATCGGTCACCCTGGCTAGAGTACAGTGGCATCATTGTAACTTAACTGCAACCCCAAACTCTTGGGCTCAAGTGATCCTCCTGCCTCAGCCTCTTGAATCGCTTGGACTGCAGGCGTCCACCACGATGCCCAGCTAATTTTTCTGTTTTTTGTGGAGATAGGGTCTTGCTCTTGCTCAGGCTGGTCTCCCAAAGGGCTAGGATTACAGGCATAAATCACTGCGCCCGGCCTAGAATGGTTTTTGTGGCTGAAAGTTGAGGATGTTAGGAGATCAAGAAAAGGAGACTGGCCAATTGTTCTGATTTCAATATTATTCTAGTGCGCCCCCCACCCACCATTGGATGATTCAAGCATAGAGAAAGATGCAGAGAATATTGGTTATCTGGAGGGGGTTATCTATCTCAAAGTGAGAGTAAGAAGAAAACAGTAGTTAAATGAAAAAAGTACTAATGAGGCCAGGCGCGGGGCTCAGACCTGTAATCCTAGCACTCTGGGAAGCTGAGGTGGGTGGATTACTTGAGCTCCCAAGTTCGATACCAGTCTGAGCCAAAAAGCGAGACACAGTCTCTATTAAAAATAGAAAATCACTTCAACTTGGGATCACTTGAGCCCAAGTTGGGATCACTTGAGCCCAAGTTGAAGGTTGCTGTGAGCTATGACTCCAAGGCACTCTCCCCAGAGCTTGAGACTCTGTCTCCAAAAAAAAAAAAGAGAGAAGAAAAAGTACTAATGATATAAATGTAGACTCTGAAACTACTCTGGCAATATTGCATATTAAAATATATTTTTAAGTGATAAGGACTAAAGGGTAATATGGACAAATGGAAATAATAATTTGGTTAGATGCCAGACATGTAGGCAATTTTGTGTTTAGGTTTTCATTATTTTAATGCAGATTTTGCAGTTAGGCATTTAAAGACAAGATGTCGTTCTTGAGTTGTGTCCTCTGTTGAGTCTTCCCTGTTCTGACAACGCAGCACTGGTCTAACTCTGCTGCAATTGTTGGTTCAGGAGCCTGCCTCCCACTGTCGGCCGAGGGCTCTTTGAGGGCAGGATCATGATTTACTCCTCAACTTCCTTGCTTCGCGACATGGGGCCTGACATGAAAATGTTCAGCAAATACTGGCACAAAGTCACTTGCTGTCAAAAACGGTGTAGTATTTGCCTCAACTGTATGTAGGGTTGACTGATAACACTTTAGGCTGGTGATGAAGAACCTTTAAAAAGTTTTTGTGTTAAATCTGATTTGGATTTAATTAGGATTTCTTAATCTATTAACTTTTTTTTTTTTTTTTGAGACAGAGTCTAACTTTGTTGCCCTCGGTAGAGTGCTATGGTGTCCTAGCTCACAGCAACCTCAAACTCTTGGGCTCAAGTGATTCTCTTGCCTCAACCTCCCCAGTAGCTGGGACTACAGGCACCCACCACAATGCCTGGCTAGAGTAAGACACAGGATCTCTTGCTCAGGCTGGTCTTGAACTCATGAGCTCAAACAATCCTCCTGCCTAGACCTCCCAGAGTGCTAAGATTACAGGCATGAGCCACTCTGCCTAGCCCTTTATTAGCTGTTATTAAAAATAGTGTATAGGAGTAGAACAGAGAGAAATGTCCAGAAATGATGAGTTTGCATCCATGCTTTAATCTGAAAGCCTTCAATCAGTGACCAAATAAATTTTATTCTCCAAAATCTAGGGTATATTTATGACAAGACAAATGAGTTTGTAATGCGGATTAATTATCTGATAAACAAGAAGTCATGGTAATTTTTTTTTTTTTTGAGACTAAGTCTCACTTTGTCACCCTTGGTAGAGTGCTGCGGCATTATAGCTCACAGCAACCTCAAACTCTTGGGCTTAAGCCCTTCTCTTGCCTCAGCCTCCCAAGTAGCTGGGACTACAGGCACCCACCACAATGCCTGGCTACTTTTAGAGATGGGGTCTCGTTCTTGCTCAGGCTGGTCTCAAACCTGTGAGCTCAGGCAATCCACCCGCCTACGCTTCCCAGAGTGCTAGGATTACAGGCCGAGCTACTGCACCCGACCCAAGTCATGGTAATTTAATAAATATTGGAATAGACAGGAAATGTCATATCAATTTTTAAATTGTTTTATATGAAGAATTGTAATTTTAGGTTCTCAACACAATGAAAAAAATATCTGTTTGACTCAATGACTGCTGAGCTGAGAAGTCTCATTCTTAAAATGGGAGAAAAGGAGATTGGCCTTGTGCTGTCTGTAGGAATCCTCTCAACCTACTTCCAGTCCTAGGACGCTCACTACGTTAGATAGAGCCTGTTCACTGCTGGCTATTGATTTTTGTTAGGAAAGTCTTCCTTGTATTGATAGAGCTGAAATCTGTCCATTTGGTTCTGGTCTGCTCTGTGGTCTTGACATTCTTTCAAATATAGTAGAATTTCTGTAAACTGATCACCCAAGGAACTGTTAACAAATTAGTTAACATAAGGAACTGGGCCCACTGAACTAATACATTCATGTGGTGCATGTCTGGTCTATGCAAATTAGGTCAACTTAAGGAGGTGGTCAACTGTGGAGGTTCTGCTGTATTGAAAGTTAGCATTCTGTCAGGATTTTTAGCTTTCTAGGATAAACAGTCAATAGGC